GTGTGGGTGTATGTATTCTTCTTATTAATTGCCCACAACCTCCCACACGCATATCCGCACCCACATCCTATTCTTTTGATAAGAGTATAGAATTTTGGATTAAATTCTGCTGATTATTTGGAATTATTAAGAGAGTTTTGGTTGGCAAAGGTAAGAGTTATATTTGTCTAAGATATTCTTCTAATAAGAGTATAGAATGTCGATTTAAAATCTGCTAGTTAAAGAACTCATATTATAGGTTTGTTTAGACTTCATGCTATATGTAATACGGGCGATTCTACAGAATTCTGAGTTTTGCTTAGAAAAAATTCTACAGTCTCCCAACAAAGAAGAGTAATACAAATATATTATGATCTGCTTGAATACCGTCAGGTAACATTTAGATCCTACTAATGTGTTCTCATTATTTTTCGTGCTGTTAATATGTATTTTCTTTTCACCCTTTTGTTCTTTCTTTTTAAAGACATTATATATGTTTGGGTTTTTTTATTTCTATTTATAACTTATCTTTATTTTTTTCCTTTGATAGTCACTGGACGTTGTACTTCTATGTGTGTTATCTTATCGTTATTCATGAATCATGTGTTGTTTTTTTTCCCTCAGATAAGCAACCTCCTCTCCTTTATATAATCCATATTTTTCTACACATAAACGATGTAAACAATTCTAATTTCACAATACATTTTATTATAGACGAATAATAACCTTTTTTTTATTTAGATCTATTGAATTTTATCTACAACGTATTATATTGACGCCACTGATTCTTTCTTTATAGAAATAAAGAACCGTCTGGTGAGTTTATAAATTTGTTTTTATAATTAAAACCTACTATATCTCGTTGTAGTACTAGCTGAATTTATCGACGTTCGAAACTACTATGGCTTTGCGCAATTCATATGCCGACTTCGACAATGTTTCGAATATCTCATCTGTCACAAGTTTACATGAAAGTTCTACAGCGTCCAGTGTAATTGTAACGTCAAGTACGCCGATCGATGCTAATACAACAGAAAAAATTTGTGAATTTTTGGAATTAGAATTTACTGATGAGAAAGATGAGATCATTTCGAATGTTTTAAACAATGGACGTCAAGCATTAGTCAAATATGAAGGCATTCTCGTTCCTGAAGTTTATTCTGCTGAAATAATCATCGATACTGTTGATAATTCAGCTATTGCATCTGAATCACCTAAAGAAACTGCTTTGTTGGAATTTCTCAAGCAGCATATTTTTCAACGATGGAAGGCAGCTTGTATAAATCAGCCGCAAATCTGGGAATTTATTACCAAGACAAAAGATGAAAATAATGATCATTTTGAAGCTGTCCTACGACATACAGCTGAATATGGTAGAAAATATACGAAATCATCTTCAATTCTATCCGTCGTCCTACAACTGTTGTTTTCAAGTATTGATGATGAATGTTTGAAAAATGAAAATGTTTTCAGTGATTTATTGACTGCTGTTACAAACGAAGGATTGCAAGGTTGTAAAAAATTTGATCAATACATTTGTCAAGACGATTTAAATGAACAACTGGATAATTCTAATTCACCTTTATATTTGGCTTTACGTATATATTATTATGAAAAAGTACCAGAATTATTGAAACAACATAAAATTCCTGACGCAAAAAATCTATTATATAGTCTAGTAGCAGATAGTGTTACTAAAATGGGTTGGTTAGATGGTATTGTGAGTGTAAAAAGCAAGATACCACCAGTGAAATACGAACCATTTCAGAAAACAATTAAAAATATGATAAGTTCTTCGGTAACATCTTCAAAACTGCCTGAACCGTCACTTTCGATACCAGTAACGGCAACTATCGAGAAAAAACCACCAGCGGACACAAAATATACAGGTAAGCACAAACTGGAGGGATATGAATAAATCACTAAGATCATGCTCTGTGTAGATCTAAATCCGTATTTCAAGGGTTCTCATTGAATCATTTGACATATAAAGAATTGTAAATTATTTTACAATACATGAACTTGAAAAATGAAATATTCTTTTATAGGCTGCCAATATTAAAAAAGATACTGAAACATCTTTCTCAACATAGGGCAGTTCTCTAACTAGTTGGAGTTCATATCAGAAATTAAACTGAGTTACAAAAATGTATATCGTTTTTAGCAGATAGTGTACTAACCTAGTTTGGAAAGATTTTCGTTAGCTACAGTATATATTGTGAAATATTCATAGAGTATATGAGCCTAAGTTGACTATCGTTGTGCTATATTTGACATAAAAGTAGTACAAATTTACCTTTATCTTAACCGTTTAGAACCATCAACTCTAAAAAATCAGTCTGATGCAAATTCACCCAATACAACTGTTCCATCGCAAAATCAAGGGATTGCTACAAATACTTCATCTGTGCCAGAAACATCTAAGGCATCAAATTCAACAATATTGTCTATGACAACAGATGCAGATATTGAAGTTACACTCGCTAAGAAATGTATCAACACAGAACTTTTACAATTGCAGCATCTAATGCAAGCCGGTGAGTTGCAATATATTAATAAAACTATAAGAAACATTTGCGAAGGGATGGTCGATCGCTTTTACAATGAACATATCACATTTTCTCAATTTATTGGTGAATCTCTATATCCAACAATGTTTCTATTAAAACGTCAACAAAATCTCGATGATTTTATGAAAACATTAACATTTGTTTATCAAAAGAGAAAACGTGAACAATCAAAATCAACATTAACCTCGAAAGAAAACGCAATGAATTTAAATTTACGTGCATTTCTACATATTTTACTTTTAAATAGCGATATTTTCTTACGTCGTACACTTATGTCATTAATTAGTAAACGTAATCCAGTTCCACTTATTGAACCAAATATCGATAATTTTAGCGGTGAAAATACCAAGTATGAAGTTGTGTCATCAATTATTCATGTCTGGAATACGACACGACCCACATTGTTATCATTTGGTGTTGGTCCATGTCGTGGAAAATCTTCGTTGATAAATATCTTATTTCAATCAACATTTGAACGACATATTGATAGTGTTTATTTTCAATATGGAATTGATATTGATTTTGGATATGCATTTATACCTGAACGATCCTTTAATCTGGCCGATAGTCATGGACAAATACCACAACAAATATTAACACAAATCTGTTCGTTGTTTGAAGGATTTTTGATTCATGTTAGTCAAAGTTTTTTGGAGCAAAACATGAAATTTGTCTCTGATGTTCTACGAGCATTGCCACGGGACAAGTGTCAAGTATTACTCGTACGTGATATTGAATCCGGTTTTGATAAACAGCAATGTCAACTGTCATTAACAAAACAATTAGCTGAAGATTCGTTGTCACCAAACATTCCACGAATGTTTTCATTGTCTAACATGACTGATACAAATAACGATGATATACAATACACTTTACAAGATCTACGTGAACAATTATTGGTAATAATCAAACTGGATGTTCCAATGAAAATTAATAAAGACCAACTTTTTAAGAATTTATACGAAATACTTACGCCTAATTATGTTAAATATTTGCAGAAAACAAATGAAATAATCCAGCCATTGAAAAAATGTTTGTTGTCAAATACGAACGACAAAAACAATGATAATTTTCCGTTGTATTTGAAATTTTCCGTTTTATGTGCACTACGTCAAGAACTTAAAAAGATTGATTTTTATGGTTCCGATAATGATCGTTCATTTAACATTAATACCGACATATTCCAAATAGAAAGTGAATTAAATCCACATAACCCAAATGCGATTGAGTGTGGTTCGGTATATAGTTATTTTATTGAACTATTGAATACAGAAAATCGAATGATGACATTAAATATGCTAGCAAGTGAATTAAAACAAGAATTATTGAATCAAGGTGCAGATAAACTGGCTGGAAATTTATCGGTCGCTAATTCATTTCTTTCTTTGGAAGTACTCTGGAGAAACTGTATTCTTTGCTATGATCATACGTCGCCTAAAAATCAACGTTTAATTATGGATAGTTATATTGAGTTTATGCAAAATGGTTTTCCATTTGAAATTATCGATGGTGATAACTTTCACTGTCAACATTCATTTTTAACTGAAATTATGGAACATTTTCAAAAACAACGTATATTGGTTATAAGTGTTATTGGTCCACAGAATAGTGGGAAAAGTACATTATTAAATTATATGTTTGGAACATTGTTTGATGTACGTGATGGACGATGTACCCGAGGAATCTATGGGTCACTTGTTAAATCTAATATTGAAGGAATTGATTATTTACTTCTTATTGATACTGAAGGTTTATTATCAGTTGAAAAATCTGACAAAGAATATGATCGTCGACTAGTCTTATTTTGTTTGGGTGTTTCACATTTAGTCATTGTTAATATGTTAGGTGATATTAATGAAGTTCTTAAAGATATGTTAACATTATGTGCTGATTCATTGAAACAATTGCGTGTTAATACAATTCAACAACCAGTTGTTCATTTTATTTTAAATCAAAAAGCTGATCCAAATATCAAAAATCATATTGAGGCGATTAATAGAATTATTTCTGATTTGAAAGATAAAGAATTAGGTGAAGTAATTAATATTAGTGCTGAAACATTTCATACATTACCTTCGGCATTCAAAAAAGAACGAATAGCAAATGATACAAGTGGACCTTGTTTAGTTCGTACTGAACCAGATTTTATAGAACAAACACAAAAATTAGTTTCTCGAATTATAACATCAGCCAAATCTTGTTATGATAATGCCGGAGATATGAATTTCAATTTAGTGTAAGTAAAATTCTTTACGCTAAGTCTTTGCAGTATCTATAGAAAAAACATTAACTAAATCGCCATTTCATAATAAATAAGACTCTTAACAAGAAAATACATTCTCATATTTTAAAGAAGAATTTAAAACAAACCTAAATTTGTGAAGTTGTTAGGAAAAGAACGATAAGTTAAATAGCAGTTGTACGACGAAAGAACTCATTGATTTCAACGTGAAATACCGAGGATAAAGGTGCTCTTCTAGGATGGAATATTTCAATACTTTTTCTTTTTAGAAAATGGCTTTCTACATCGATTACAATATTTGATACATTACAAAAGTTTCCTGATTTAACTTATTTTAAAGATATTAATGAGAGACGTCAAGATGATAAAATACGTTTACGAATTGGTGAAATGATCCCTGAAACATTATCAGCGGGCCAACGAATGAAAATGATCGATGAGAATTGTGATAAAAAGGAACAAGATATACGCGATACGTTTCAAGTACAATTTCAAGTCTATCAAGATGACTTAACTGAAAAATTGGAAAATATATTTAAATTAGAAAATGCATCAGAACGTATTCGTAATCGTAGTCAACAATTTCTTCTACGACAAGTAACTGAAATTCGAAATGCATGGTGTACATCAACAATTGAAGTAAATGATCGAAAACAAATGGAAGCACTTGTTCGCCATGGAAAAGCTGATTTAAATGTTTTAATTGATAATATTATTAAAAGTGGACGTATGATGACAAAAACTGATGCCATAGCTGAATTTAATACAATGTGGGAGAACAAATTGAAGCATATTAAAAATAATTTTAATTCGACTGAACGATTAAAACAAGCAATCAAATTTGTCTACGGCAATTATAATATATTTGAAAAGAAAATGTTACCGGCACATGATAATATAGTAAGCTCAATACAACTAATCGATGATCTTACCGCTTTCCCTAAAGTAGAGGCAATATCATGTCAACTAGAAACTAATTTTCTTGACAGAATAAACTCCGAACAACAGAATCTATTGCAAAAATTACCACAGAAACAATCTACTGTTACGAAACTGGCTATTGAAAACTTCGCATATATCAACAAACAGATATTACTCAACTTAATTGATTCTATTCAAATTTCTCATGAAGATCGAAGTAAGAAAAAATATCACACTCCCGAATTTCACTTTATTTTACTTCGCATTCTATATACTGCTCTAAGTCTTCACTAAATTCAATTATGCAGTACTCATCACTATAAGAGAGTATAATAGAATGAGAACACTACTGCGCTTTTTCACTTCTTTCGATACGCTATACTTCAACAGATAGTTTTATATTTGTGATATCTTTTCTATAACTGACGATCGTTATTACTATAAACGGGAATGTTCTTCTCGTTCGAAATTCTTTCATTCGATCACTAAAGTTCTACCTACATAGAAATTAACTACGTACGAGCTACAAATGCAGATATATATCACAATATAAGCGGAATACAAATAAATGGGCCATCCGAAATAGACTATTGTTGAGAACTTCTTCAAGTTTATTTCGAATTTGATAACATCGGATCTTCGTGATGAGCTAGTGTAACCAATCGAAAAGAAGCATTCTATTCTACATCGTTATTCTATCTAATGTTATTCTGTTACAGTCAAAATTATGATTTGTGAAATATAATTCTATACTTTTCTCTTTCGTTTAGGTCCATCACAGAACGAGCCTAATACGTCCACCATTGCTAATGAAAAAAGTGGTTTTTTTCATCGAGCAGGACGGATAATTCCTAGTGGTGTTAAAAATATGTTCGCAAGTTCAAATGAGAAAGCAGTGGTTTCATTACGACTACAACTTACACCACCTCCTTCACCTTTAGAAAATGATCTCAAATTCCAAGTACAAAAAGCAATGATCGCTGAAATGAAAACACCGGCAAATAAATCAAATATGTTATATTTACCCAGCATTTTTGGAAATATTCTTAACAGAATTCGAGATACTGTCATTGGAGATGAAGGTAAACATCGACAAGAACATGATGGAAATGCTTGCCATCCAATTGAAATTGATATTATTCAAACGATTGTAGGTCTCATTAATGCTGCTATTGATGAAATTAATCGTGAACTACTTGCTTTTGATTTATCATTATCAAGAACTTTGATTATGATTATACATACTCTGGTGTTATTCTATTTAACAACGTTATATTACAATGAACAGAAGCAGCATTTTCAACAACAGCTCGCCACATTAGATAAAGCATGGCCATCATTATTGAATTACTTTATTAGTATGGTCGTATCTGATGTTTCATGTGATAAAGATGCTGGAGAAATCTTTGCTAATCAAGTTCTTGATGCTGTACAACGTATGTTGACAACAAAAATACAAGAAATCATTACAACAAAAATACAAACACAAAAGGATCTAAGTCGAAAAGAATTACAATTAATTTGTGACGGGAAATTAAGCACAGCCAATGACGAATGGATGTTGAAATATATTGAGCAGCCTACTGACATTATTTTTGAAGAATTTCAATTAAGATGGGATAATGTTCAAAATGATATTGAGGCACAAATAGGAATGGAGAAGAATAAGTTTAAATCTCATATGATTAAATACTTTTCCATCATTCAGTCAATGGAAACGGCTTTGACGGGCGAAGGAAGTGCTGCGAAATTTGTTGATGATCTATTTCAAGCAACAAGTGGAAGTGCAGATCAAAACTTAAAAAATAAAGGACAATGTATGGTGTTAGTATTATATTCTTATTTAAAAAATGTATTAATACAATCGACTACATCGTTTACAGTATATGATCAGACATATGAATTAACTGACAAAGGTGTTCGTTATTTCCAGAAACTATCAAAACCTGATAAAGAACTTATCAATTTATTTGATTTGATGAGTAAATCCGATGATGCAACCAAAACACCATCGAGTGATACTTCTTCCATTCGATTAACATCAATTAAAAACTTTCAAAATTTTCTGAAAAGTATATTGGATATTAAAACGAAAATTGATCAGAAATACGAGGATATTTCAACGGCCTTTGGTTTATATGATAAAGATCAAACTTATATAAGACTTCAGGGTAAAGCAAGAGGCTGTACTGTCAAATGTAAGTTTTTTATACATATTCATAATGTATATATATTCGTTTCGTTGACTTGATTTTAAATTTCTCGTTTGTTGCAGGTCCATGTTGTCAACGTCCTTGCGATGCTGATCATAGTTTAGTCAAATCAAATCCTGGTAAGTTAACATTACAAATGAATTGTGATTGATCTACTATCAATCCTGTCGCGCTGAAATTATTCTTTGTCTGTCGAGAGTCTAAATAAAAATGAGATCAGAATTGAGACATTTAAAACAAATCATGTTCTCTGAAACATTTCTTAATCAATTTTTTGAGTATGTATTAGATCAGTATTGATTGACGTGCAAGTTTATTTACAGAAACTAAACTTCAATATTCATCTCTCTCGACAGTTCTGATGAATTATTTTTCCCTTGATTTTAGCTTTAACCGGTGTACTGACTATATTTGTCCTCGCAATTTTACGTATAAATATCTCTAAAATCTTACCGATTTCAATTAAAATGATATTATGCACCGAATTCTGGCATCTATTGTTCTTTATTTTAATTGTATTTTGCATTTTTCTTCTTGGTAGGTGGTTGAAAATATTCAGTTACGAAACATATCTACAATAATCTATCGATCGCCACACATATGATGTTATTTTTCATCTAAGCGTTTTTAATACTCGATTGTACGATATATGATATTTTGATGATTTTTGTTTTGTAGGTGATGAGGATAATAAACACAGCTGCACGACAGGTCATCAACTTCGAGCATTTGCTGGTATTAAATTTGAAGTTACCAATGAAGCGAGTCTATACCAATGTAATGAAATTAATAACAATGATTTTATTGTTGTCAAAGGTGATCGAAAAAAATGGGCTGAAATGAAACTAGATTATCAAACATGGGATTTTGACGTGACAAATTCAACGGAAGAGTTAGGTAAACTTAAATCAAAATTTTTATATGTTTGGGGAAAAACTGGTCAAACATTTTGTGACAAGTATAACATGACCTATGTTACAAACAATACACCAGGACCTGCACCGGAAGATATGCATTATATTTTATTATTAGATAATTCTGGTTCTATGAAGGGTACTCCATGGGATAATTTGTTGGCTGCTTGTCAAGTTTTAATAAAAGCTCGTGTCGATGGTGGGACAATTGATCATCTTACTGTTATAACATTCAACGAAAAAGCAGACTTGTTTTGTAGTGATCAACCAATGAAAAGTGTAAATATTTCGAAAGTTGCCTGTACAAAAAAAGGGACAGATTTTGAACCGGCATTTAAACTAGTTTATAATGTTCTAGAAAGTTCGAAAGAAAAAAATTCAAGTTTAAAACATGTTATCGTGTTTATGAGCGATGGTGAAGCAGAGTATCCGCAAGCACAATTAAATCTGTTAAAACCAATGCTAGATGATCAAATAAAAGAATTTTGGACTGTCGCTCTTGGTACAAGTCGTATGGAAATATTAGAACAAATCAACTCGAAGATGAAAGGAACATTTAAACAATTAAAAGACTCAAGTGAATTATCAAGCGCATTTGCCGAAATTGCAATTGGATAATATATATATCTAGAAAAATAATATCTTGATTCTATACGAAACATAACAGAACTTTTATTCATGTTATTCTAGAACTTTTTTTATTGACTTCTTTTCTATTTTATGCTCGAGAAACTTAAATATACGTATTGATTGTGTGCTTGTGCTTGAAAACTCGTCTTTATAGAATGCTGGATTGTCAGTTTCATTCGCCGACATATTTTGATCAATTAAAAAAACGATAATGTCGTGTGATAGTGGAAGATGTTGATTACAAGGGTGAGTGTGTGTATGTGTGAGTATTCTTCTCATTTGTTATCTACACCTTCCTACACGCACACTCGAATGCCACCTAGTTTTTCTATTTATTCTAACTCTTGAAGAAAAACGTATTATCAACGAAAAATCATTTCAATGTTGAATAACATAATATATTATTTTGTTCCTTCGCAGTATTTCTGTGTTAATAATTTTATTAGATATTTACACTTTTAATTCTCCTTCTTTTTAATTAAAAAAGGTGTATATTGTTTTGTTATGATGTTTATGCCAATATGATATATAAATAGTTAAAGAATCTAAATAATTGTTATCCATGTTGTTCAGTATCTTGATTAATTGTTAACAATACATAAACATTTTGTTTTAATCGAAATAATACGATAACAAAACAAAAGAAAAAAGACAACTATAATTCAATGATGTTTCATTGATAATCCGATTTAATAACAAATAAAGTCAAAAATTTGACTTACATACAACAAAAGAAAAAGAAAGACGAAATTCATTTAATCAACTGTTGTTTCTCTCGGTTTTTTCGATGAATTTGATTGTCTTTCATGATCATTTGATTGATTACCATCTTCATCACGTTTTCGTTTTTGTCCAAAACCACCACCGCCACCACCACGAGTATTACGTTTACCATGTCCTCCACGTTTACTACCACCAAATCGTTGATGTTTCTTTGTTCGTTCTGCTGCACGTTTTTCATTAGCTTCTTTCCAAAATTGTGTTTCTTCTTCACCTTCAACTATACGACTAGTTACTTCTTTATCACCTATAACAAGTTTGCCTTGTCCAGCGGCTAATACTTTTTCTAAAACATCTTTTGCTGTATTAGCTTCATTTAATCGTACCCATGCCTAAATAATAATCATATAATCTTAATTTTTTTAGTCTCCATTACTAAACAAATATTTTACCTCAGCATCACCTTTATTAAAATCAATCCAAGGTGTTTTTGTAAATGGATTAAATTTTTCTTTAATTAATTCTCTTGTACCGTTAGAAGGCATACCAGCAATATGAATAAGAGCACCAGGTAAATTTTCATTATTTAATTTTTCTAAATGTTCATTTGTTTGTTTTTCTAAATCTTCTTTTCGTTTTTCTTTTCGTATTTCTTTATCATTATTTTTTTTATATTTTTCATTATCACTAGATGCTCTTCCACCATTTGCTGATTCTAAAGCTTTCTTCTTATAATGATCATCTTGTAATGAACTTTCTAATACAGAACCATCTTCATACTTAATTGGTGTTTCTTTCGATTTTTCAATAAATTCACGAGCTTTTTCTTCAGTTGGAAAAACAACAAATGCAGCACCATTAAAATCTTTCGATTTAAATTGTTTTTTCATTTGAACACTTTCTATAGAACCAAATCTATTGATAAATATAATCAAAAAAAAAAATGTTTTAGAAAAACAAAAAAACGAAGTCTTACTGTTCAAAAAAATACTAATAATTTATCAATGGTAACATCATCTGTTTTTGGAAAACCTTTTACATAAACTGTACGATTACGTAATGCTAATTCAAGTTCAGCTTGACTATTTGGTATTGGACGTTCTGGATTACGACGAATTCTATGTTCTGTTTCATCAATTTGTAAAAGACCCGAAACAGAATTTTTTAATGCACTAGTTATTGTTTTAAAATCCGTTGTTAATGATTGAAGACGTTTAAATGTTGTTAGAACAGATAATGGTATCCAACCTTGATCTTTTGTAACTTCTGTTTTAAGAAATTTATCACGTACCATATTAACATCACCAAGATAATATTCAATTTGACGAATTATTTTTTTATCAAGATCAGGACCTGTCGAAGATGTTGTTTGACTCAAAGTTGTTACAATATTTTCACCATTTTTTCTTCAAAAAAAAAATAGAATATACAATTGTTTAACAAATAGTATATAATACTTACTGATCAGTTTTATCAACTGTTGTAGTTGTAGTAACTGAATGATCGGGATTAACCATTTTATTTGATGTTATTGTTGTAACTACATCACCATCAACTAGAGTTTCTTCTGTTGATGAAACAGTTTTAGCATTTGTTTTTGGTACGACAGTATCAGCCATTTGTCTACGGATTGTTATTAATATTGATAATCTAGAACACAAACAAAAATATTCAGTGGATATTTTTTTTTTTGCAGACGAACAAAACAGAAGATCTCGTTTATGTACGTACACAAGAGAATATTTGTGTACGAAAGAAAAAAAAGACATAAATGTTTTTGAAACCATCATAAAAGCAAGAAAAATATGAAAATGCGCTTCACATTCACACTAGACAAAAGACATGCATATATATACATAAAGTTTCTTCTCCGGCGATTATTTTTTCTTTTGCAAAAAAAAAAATACGTCTTAATATTTAAAAATCATTAGAATAAGACAAAACAGACGGACAAATTTTGAAGAAAATTCTACGTTCTATAGAAAAAAAAATGAAATAAATAGTTCGAAAATAGATGTGCGATTAAATACGGTGTATTTCGAACATGTTGATGTGAATATATAATAGAGAGATTAAACTCGATGCTCATTAAAAAGAAAAAGAAAATAAACGTAGACAAATATCACTGTAGGAGAAGAAAACATATAAAAAGAAATACTACAGCACGCAAAAAAGCAAGAAATAAACTGGACGTTATAGTTTTGATTAGAGAAAAAAAACAAAACAAAAAGTACAAGCCAATATCGTTTACTAATCTTGATCATGCCATTCATGTTCAGGTTCACTGTTTAACAGTGATTCACGTGATTGTGGTCGTTCATCAGATACATGACCACCTTCATCAGAAAAAATACCTATTTAAAATCAATGAAATTATTTCATCTAAATAATAACTTTAATTTTTACCTTCATTTTTTGATAATGATGAATGATTATTAGTTTCATTATAGATCTCACTTTCTGATGAAAACATTCCATTTGATTTTCGATTTAAATCTTTATGTTTAGCTCGATGTTTTTCATCATCAAGTACATAATTATCACTGTGTATTTCTTCCACTTCACCTTCTTCGGATGAACTATAACGTTTATGCTAAAAGATAAATAGAAAATAAAAATAGAACAAAAAAATAAACAATCATATGAATTTACTCGATTGAATGTATTTCGTTGTTGATAAGATGGACTTCGATCATTGACTGTAGTTGGTGAAAAATGAAAACTAACACTTCTTGGATATTTACGTGTATCATTAGATTTTTCATTATCATTTTTCTCATCTATTGTTTTCTTATCATTTTCTGATTCATCTATTTGTGGTGTATGTTGATCAAGTGAAGTCGATTTTATTGTACGTAATGATGATGGTGAAGCTGTTTTATTATTATTTAAATTTGGAATACGTCGTCGACGTGGTTTTTCATGTACATCTTCTATATCACTACTGGATGATTTACGTTGAACATATGTAAATATAGTTTGAGGTCGTTCATAATTTGTTGGTGATATCTGTGAACTTGTTGAATGTTGAAGATCAAGTTTAAGGGTTTTAGGATTTAATTGTCGATTATTTTTATTTAATTTGGCATCGATATCCGCTGATATTGATGGAATTGAAGATTGAATTGATGTTTCAGGAATAGTTTCATTTGATGGTATATTGATAGAAGCACGTTTTTGTTCTTGATCGGCAATTTCTGTAAGACTTGGTGGTGTCCATGATGTTGCACTTCCTTTACTATTATTACGACGATGTCCTAGACCTTTTTTTCGTCGTTGCGTAGTTTTAATACTTGTTGTATCTTGAGTATTTAAAACAGTTGCTGCTGATGACACTGTACTTTGATTAGTCGAGACTATATAATGCAATAAAATGAAAGAAATATGTAATGACAGGAAAGAAAAACAACATGTCGTGTGTGCATTTGTAATTTCATCAGTCTTGTGCAATATGTTTGCTTAAGTACTTTTTAATTATACTATGATGTCAGAAATGTGAAATTTAATTTTTGCGTTTTTCTCTCAATTCTTTCTTTATTAATAAGATTTAATAACTTACGTCCATTATTTGTTTTAATGGAATTTGCTTTTTTTGATGATGATTGTGCTAACATTGCAAAAGGATCACTGAGATTAAAACTTGCTGCTTTAATTGATTGTAATGATTTTTTTCGTGCTTCTACTATTGAATTAAGTGTTCGTTTTTTTCCATTATTATTTCCTGTTGATGAATGATGTTGTATATCATGTAAACGTTCTTTTTTCTTTATTTCTTGTTCACGTTTTTGTAATTGCATCATTAACGAAGATAATTCAATATAAAGTGTATTGACTTGTTGAATTTTTGCTTGATAATGTGAACGAATATCAGCAATATGTTGTAATTCTTCTTTACGTTTTTTCATTAATTCATCATTACTCATTTGAAGTGTTGATGATATATCAATTGTTGGTAAACGTGCAAATTGTTCATTGATTTCAATTGACCAAGCACGAGTTAAATCAACATATTCTTGTTCTTGTTCAAATAAAATTATTTCGGGTTCACTAATATTTAAATGTTTTATAATTTGTTGAAATGATGGTCGATTAACAGGTTTTTGATTCCAACACATTGTCATAAGTAATTTAAAACCTTCAGGAGCTGATGATGGTATTGGTAATGTTAAACTACCTTTACCGACACCTAAAAAAATAAAAACTATATTTAGTAAAAAGAACTTTACTTGTAAGAAAATCTTACCCCACATAACTGCGGTTGGATCTATATTATGATATGGTATTTTACATGTTAAAATTTCCCAAAGTACAACACCAAATGACCAAACATCAACTTTATCTGAACAAGGTTCTTGTCTAATAACTTCTGGTGCTATCCACGCTGATGTACCATTGAATGACATAATTTGTCCTTGTTTATTTCCTAATTGTTTACTTGTACCAAAATCCGAAATTTTTAAACTAAAATTTTCAGCAATTAATATATTTGGTGATTTAAGATCACGATGAACCATTCTATTTGCATGTAAATAATTAACACCATTAGAAATTTGTTTTGACCAATCAAGAACTTGTGTTGGTTTTGTATAAGAATCTTTTTCACGACGTCGTTTTAATACATCATATAATGAACCATATGGACAATAGTCCATAACAATATAAAATAATGGTGAAGAAATTGAAATACCTAAAAGGAAAATTTTTCTAAGTATTGAAATATTAAACAAATATATATCAAAACAAACCTCGAAATTTAATAACATTATTATGATTTAATTTTCTTAAATGTTTTATATTTGTTTCATCTTCAGTTTTAACACGTTTACAAGCGACATTTTGACCATTATGTTTACCAAGATAAACAGAACCTTCCATACCAGAACCAATTAATACTAAATCATTCATAATACTATCAATTGGAATTTGCCAACCATCATTTATTTTTTGTAATGTATTATTTGGATCTTTAGTATATTTGATGTTTTCACCAATTTTATTGACTACAGATATAAATGGTCTTAAACAACCAAAAAATGTCTGCATTATTCCATTATCATCAACATTATTTTCAACAGTTTCATATTTTATTTCAACATTAGGTTGTTCATCAGTAGTCGCTGCTGATATTGAAGATCTTCGAAATGCTACTGGTGGATCACGTTCACCTGTTGGTGTTGATGGTGCAGAACAAGTTGTAAATGGATTAACAGATGTTTTAGTTAATGTAGATGGTGCATCATCATCAGACAAATCGACACTTTCCATTGAATCAATTGTCAATGAACTATCAATAGTAATACATTATATAAAAAAAAAATATATGAAAAATAATAACTAACCCAAGATCCATATGTTGTTCATTGAATTGATTATGATCAAGTTCATCAGATGATGAATGAGCATTAATAGTATTTGTATTAGGTAGTGGATTTATAATAATTGTTTCATCAGCTAAATCAGGCGCTGGTGACATATCTGTTGACTATGTTTTTCTATTATGTTTGCTACCCACAGGTAGCTTCGTACAAAAAAAACTACAATTATTTGGCAATATTTTAGTTTTTACACAATTCTTATAATGTTATTTTTTTTTTCTTGGTTCGTTTCCTGTCGACGCACGGCGATGTTATGACAGCAAGTAACTTGCATCCATAGATCACCCGTTTGTTTGTTTGGTTTCTTTTCCTCTAACCAATCAAATTTTATTAAAAAACCTCTCTATCATCGTATTATATTAAATCAATATAAATAGAAAAAAAACTTTAAAACAATTTTAACATTTAAAATTAATTCGATAATATATTTAAAAATTTTTCATGAAAAACTTATATTAGAAACCTCCTTCAAGTTCTGTCTTGGTCATACGAGAAAATATTTTCATGAGTCATTCGGACTTTCTATCGTATGTTTACTAACACGCATTAGTTTTTTTTTATCATCTACGAAAGGTCTAATAATCTTCGTATTTTAGATAAAAGCGCTGCTTGTTAATTTTATTTTTTCAAATCAATAACAACCATGAAACTTTTTCTTGATATCTTTACCGGTGATGAATTATGCAGTGATTCATATCCCATCAAACTTGTTGATGATGTTTATTATGAAGTTGAAGGCAAAGTAAGGACATTTATTTCGAAATAACAATAGAAATATTTTATGAAAAAAAACTAATCTTCTTTTCAGAATATCTCACAAAGTAATGATATCGATGATTCATTAATCGGTGGTAATAAAGCACCTGAAGGTAGTGAAGCAGCTTCTGAAGAAGGTGGTGTTTCATCATCAACAGTAACTGGTATCAATGTTGTTATGACTCACAAATTAGAAGAAACACCATTCGATAAAGCAAGTTTCAAAGATTGGTTGAAAACATATTCAAAAAAACTCAAAGAACATCTTCAAGAAAATGCACCAGATCGTGTACAACCTTTTACAGCTGGTATGACCAAATTGGCCAAAGATATTTTATCAAAATTCGATGAATATCGTTTTTATCTTGGTGAAAGTATGAATATTGATGGTATGGTTGTCCTTCAATATTATCGTGAAGATGGTTTAACACCTATCTTCATCTACTTCAAAGATGGTGTCCGAGAAGAAAAATACGTAAGTTTAATATTTGTATCTATACATATATATATATATATATATGTTTTTTTATTTAGTGAACAAACGCAGCATAATTAACAACGTTTTCTTGTTACCATCATCCTTAATTTTTTCCTCACATTGCGGCTTGTTTTTCTTTTGTTCAAACGATTTTTATTAACATATGAATGATTAACATCTGTTTTTCTTTGTCATTTGTTGAACAGTATGAAGAAAAAATATAAGGAAATAAAGTAAAAATTTCACAAGAGAAGAAATAAATGTTTTTATGTTAAATGAATTGAATCGATATTTATTGATAGAGGATCATTGGATTTTAATTCAGAAAATACAGTCTAGTAAACAAAAAGAAATGAAAGATTAGGTTTTTTTTTGAAAAAAAAAACATTTCATACTGTAACTTTGCTTTGATTTGTAGTCATATACCCAATAAACATTGTTTGAGTATTATGTGCACAAAGAAATTCTACTAATCGACTTTGATTTTCATTTGTAATCATTTTTAATAAAATAAATCCAAAATATTTATCTGCATTTATTGGTGTCATTATTCGATTTAAAAATATTTTATTTAAATATATTCGTATTGTTTCTGGTGTAAGATCATCGAATGAACAAGCGTCACATATTGATTTTGAAAATAAACTTTTCATAAGAAATTCGCCAGTACCTGAAGATGCAATTGCAACTGAACATGCATCGTTTCGTTCAGCCCAACAACCACAACCAAACCTGAAATAATTTGAAATAGATTTCAAATTTGGATTCTATTTCTTTTGTTTTCTGATTTTACATTGCAGAATGCCCTACACGACCAGAATGTTTCAATAGTATTCCACCACTTGATGCAGCTGCTGCTACATTACCATTTCGATCGATGACAATAGCACCGACTGTATCTAATCGTTCATTATCATTCTAAAAGAAATAACGAGACTATATAAATAATCTTAGGCTAATACCGTTTTCAATTTTTTAGTTGATTCCACTGTAGTATCATCTAATTTGCGTTTATATTTTTCGAACATATATGTACTATTCTCTATCAAAGAATACATATTAAATTTAATTGATTTATAATGAAAATCAAAGAATAAAAAACCTGTTTTCATTTGTTGACTATCAATTAATGGAATACCAGTTTCTTGTGCCCATTGTTTAGCACCATCACCAACAAGTAAACTATTAAATATAACAATAAATCGAATTTTATATTTAAAATTTACCATGGAGGTATTCGTCCACCATCCATAAGACCTTGTTTTTGAGTATGTAATAATGCCCATGCTAATGTTATTGGATTTTGTATACCTGAAACAGCTCCTATTGCTCCATAACTATCTTCATCCATAATCGATGCATCACATTCAATATTTCCATCTAAAGTTAAATTTGAACCAATACCAGCATTTGTTAATGGACAATCCTGATCAAACAAAATATGTCTATTTCAATAAACATAACATTAAAAATTACTTCAAGTACAGCAACAGCAATACATGCTGCTTCCGATGCATTCTTTCCACTATTTAATAATTTAATTCCTTGCAAGCAAGCACGTTTTATCGTTTCACGATACTGTGGTAATCGTGCTTGAGATTGTAGACCAGCACCTATGGAGAATATTCTACATTCTTTTAAATTCAATCAATTCATATTTAACCTACCAATATGAACTGCAATAAAACCTGCATGATTATTGTCTGTAACAATTAGATTAGCCATAGTGATAGATCTTTTTTTTAAGAAAAATCTTCAATAAAACATTCTTTCATTATTATAACATATGAATTATAACAAAAAAACAACGAAATAAATAAATTATTATCGGAAAATTCCTAACACCAGATAACAAAAAAAAAACATTATAAAAAATATTATGAATGCGTTGCTATTTTCGGTTTATCAAAACGATTTTCGAGATTCTTTAGAAATGTTGAATAAGGACAATAATAATCATGACAATTTGGCAATATTTGTAGCTAAATAATAAAAAACAAAGTCAAAATAGAAACAATTTGTAATTATATATTCACTTACATCACCCGCAAAATTTACTGTTACATATGTTTCATTCGGATCTGTTTTTGAAATGAAATATTTTATAAAAATATATGCACCATATTTTGGCCATCGCATATTGAAAATCTATAAAAACATACGATAAGACAAATACATTTCAGAAGTTTAACTATACTTCAAATGCCATTGCTAATGGAATTAATGTACTATCATGACCGGAATAGATAAATAACTTATGATAGGATCTATAAAATATATAAAATTTTCTTAAAATAAATATTTAAATTTCAATACTTTTTTATGTTCATATCTTTTTGTTCGAGATAATTTTTCAATATTGAATTAAAATTTTCTCTTAATAAATAAAGAAGTGGTCCACAAGTTGAACGTATAAATAAATTAAAATCAATATTTGTACTAAAAATAAAAGATTATAATTTGAATAATGAATTAAATTTCATTACGCTCTATAGACAAATTCACGAGCTGACATTACTTCAAAATCTTCTGTTAATTTCAGAATATCTTTTGGAACAGAAAAATTATGAGCCTATGATATAAAGAAAAAGAAATGCTACGATCTCGAAATAAAATACAACTAACTAGTCTTGAAACAATATCATCATATAATTCAATAATACCCGAATGAGAGCTAGTTAAACCTGAAATTTAAATAAAATTAAATTTACAATAAAGAAATTTCCTACCAATACGATTCAACAATGCTTGTCGAGCTTTTTTTAATTGATGATTATCATTTAATGATGTATAAAGAGATGCAACAGTATGACATTTTTTAAGAATTGGATAAATCTTTGGATTAGGAAACTATAGAGAAAAAGTATAAGATTATGAATAATATATAAAATTTATACCATATCTTCATCAGGAAAATGATGAACTTCAATTTCAAATGAACCTTAATAATTATAATATAGTTTTATATATTTCATTTCTGTTGTTATGAATATTTACCATTCGCTTGTATTTGATTATTTGTTTTTACAGAAGAGAAAAGTCCAGCAAGAAATGATCGAGCACTGCTTATTGTTCGATCCATATATGTAGATCGACAGCTATGAAAATAGATATACTATAATTAAAATTTATATGATGATAATGACTAAAAGCAATTTGCGAAAAAATTGATATATAAAAATTTCATTTTATTCTTCTTTAGTCATTCATCATGATATTCATCTGACGTTCACTTTTCTTATCTTATCTACATTAAGAATAGATTATTGTTTATCGATTCGTATGATCAATATTTATTAAATTATATGTTAGATAAAAATCTCAAACTCAGGTAATTAAGAGTTTTATTTGCAACTTCTGTAGAAAAGAAAATCTTGAAATAAATACATACTAGACATATGTTGGATCATATGTTTCTGGTAGTAGTCCATTATTACTATTATCATCATCAATTAATTCCGATCTGATCAATCTTCCAAGTTGAAATAATTGTTTTTCTCCAATAGCTGTTAATTGACCTTTTCTTACATTTATATCAGCTACTGACTACAATAGAAAAAATATGACATTCTCTTTTTTATTCTAATTTATATATCCTACTTTTAATTTATCAACTCCATCAGTTTTAATATCATTTGCTGATAGAATTTTCTCCTTAGATACAATATTATCACCTATTTTTGTAATTAATTTTACATTCCACTTTGTTGGAACGTAACTTTCTATGTGTTCTTTGCTATAAATTACCTAGAAAGAAAAACAACAGAATAATAATTGAATATATATGTTTTATTTTTCTAATAAACCTCTTCGAGACTAGGTAGTAAAACGTAAGGAGTTCGAGCTCCATGTCGAAAAATAATTTGTGCACCGATTAATTGTAAATCAGATCTTTCTTTAAAATTAACCATTTTTAATTTTTCATTATTTGAATATTGACCATCTACTGCCCAAGCAATTAAAGAATCTTCATAGTTACGTTCAAAATTTTTCTCATCGATCTTTCCTATCGAAGATTTTGTTGATGTTAAAATAATATCAACTGAACTATCACAACATTTTTTAAATAATAGAACTACAATTCCTACAACAAAAACCCATTTTAATATCAAACGAAAATTTCTACGCATGATATTAAAATAAAGTTTTTTATCTATAAGAAACTAAAGAATAGTTAACGTATTGTTTTTCTTGTCTAAAACTTTTATTTCAATGAATGCTTGTTGTTATTTTTCTTTTCATGGAAGAACGCAAAAAGTAGTCACAAACAGTTATTTTTTTTCACACGTATATACATACAAATACAAATAAAAATTTTTCTATTTTTTTGTGTTTTGGTTTTTTTTTGTTAGAATTCTTGACTTGAAAAGAAAAGAAGAAAAGAAAAGAAAAGCAAACCAAATAGACGAATGATAAAAATAATAAAATAATTTAATTAGATGAGTTCAATCAGCACTGTAGAATACAAGACAGAAAAAAAGAAATGATTCTTCTTCAACAGAGTAATAAAAAAAAAGAAGAAACGAAGAAGAATTAATGTGTCATATTAGATGAGCTGTTCGTCATTAGTCGCACCAGTTAATGAAGCATCGATAGCTAAAAAAAATAAAAAAAAAAAATCAATGTTTAATTTCAAAGACATTGAAGTTCAATGTATTTTCTAATAGAAATGTTTCATTAATAACAAAATTTTATTTCATAAAATTCGTTTTCATTGATTGAATCTCTAAGAAATAATTTATTCATATCAGGAACTACGCAATTTTTTATCAAGTACAAGGAGAAATAAAATTATATTTAATTAAATTCTAATTGAACTTTACAATTTACTTCGTACTCAATCAGTTATATAGCGTCATATTATGCCTGTCATGCCGTTCTTTAATAACTATTCATAAAAGACTAAATTATTTATAATACATACTACTCAATGTTCGATTAACCGTTTGTAGTTGATCAACAAGTTGTTCTAATTCCCGTATATTTGAATCACTGTCATCAGTTGTATTATTCGGTCTAAAATAGTCGATATATAGAATTTATAAATCATTTTGTTTTTTTTTCTTACTTCAATTTGGATAATATTCCTGATGAAAGTTGTATTAGTTTAATTGCTAATCTTTGCCCGTCATCTCGTAATGAATCACATCGTTCCTAAAATAATTAAATCGTATTTTGTATTGAGAAATAAAAGTTTCTTACTCCTTCACTAAAAGTACTTCCATGCATTCTTTGATATTGTGATTCATCTGTAACACTTGAAGTCATTCCTTTACGATATCTTGATGTTTTTATTGTTGATGCCGTTGTTGCTGTTTCTCCAAGTGGATTTGGACTTGCTGATGATGAACGATGATGTGATGATGATGATATAGTTCTTGTTTTTAATAAATCTTGTCGTTGAGATGAAAGATGATTATTATTATTAGTAGCAACAGCAGCAGCAGTAGTAGTAATAGTATTATTTGTACGAGGATTTGAGCGTAAATTAAAAAGATCTTTTTTACTTGTATTACTTGCATGACTATGCCATGATGCACTCATTATATCATTATGTTGTTCAGTTTTTTGTAATTGTTGTCTAGTACGTTGTGCTAATTCTTCAATTTTTGCTTGTGCACGTGCACGACGTAATTCAACAGCTCGATTCGTTTGTCCACTTGAATTATTTGTTAATAAAACAGATGTTGCTGCTGGTTTTATTAATTGACGTGTTGGTAATGTTTTTGATATCATTTGTTGTTGCAATTGTTGCTGTTGATGTTGTTGCTGCTGCTGCTGTTGTTGTGATGGTTTTGTTGTTGTTGTTGGTACAAGATTTGAACGTTGTCGACGTAATGCAAATGATTTATTCATATAGACTTTAGTTAAACTTGGATGTGTTGATAAGATTTCTTCAGTATCATCAAGATATTTACTTGCTGCTGATGTTGCTGATGTTGTCGATGAAGACATGGGTCGATTATATTGTGTATTGGCTGGCATTGTTTGACGTATAGTTGCATTACGTTGAAATGGTGATGAATAACTATGATCATTACTTGATGTTGTATGTGGTCGAACAGCTGTTTTTGATGAAGATGATGGATGTTCAGAATTTTGATGTGAAGTTTTAAGAGTTGATGTTGGTATTTGTTGTTGTTTAATATCTTGTTGACGTGGTTGTTGTGGTTTAGGATCTTGACGTGTTGGTAGTTGACGAAGACGAAATGAAAATCTTTCTGTTTCACTTTGATTTGAACGAACTGAAAGTGGTGGTGATGCTGGAGATTTTTTTGATGGAATTTCAAAATGTGTATCTTTCGTTGGTATAATCGATGTTGGTAATTTTGGTCTAAATTATAATATATATGTATAATAAATAGTTTAATAGAAAATATATTAGAAATTTACTTCGATTGAATATCAAGTTTTCGTCGTGGACCTGTATTAGGAAATGGTTTAGTTTCGAACGTTGGTGAAATAACTAAAAAGAATATTATAATAAAAAATAAAAAAAAGATTCATTGATTTCTTTTTTTATACCAAAACATTCAGCTGGTTTAATTTGATTTTGTGGTGGAGTTATAGGACGTTGTGGTAAAAGAGTATTTGGCCTTTGTCTTGCATAAATTACACCATTGGAAGACTTCGTATCGATAGTATAATGTGATGCACCTTCAGGTTCTTTACGTACACTATTATCACTTTCAGTTGGTAATGAAAGTAATGATGATGAGGAAGACAAATTAGCTGATGATGATGATGATGATGAAGAAGGAGATGATAAATCATGTGTTGGAATATTTAAATCTACAATTGGACGATTAACAGTATGTGTCGTTGTTGATGTCGTTGTTGTTGATGATGATGTTGGTGATGATATAGCATGAATTTCAAATGTTCCATGACGATTTTTTTTTGTTGTCGCATACCGTTTAAAAGGAGATGAAGTTGATGATGAATTATTTTCTTCAATTTCATTTTGTTGTTCAATATCTTGTTCAGGTTCATCATCTCGTGCAATATCAAGATCATCTTCAATGATATAGGTTCCTGCATCACTTAATGCATCAATATCATGATGATCAGATGAAGGTGTCATTAGAGGTGATGTATGATTGAGAACATTTGTAAATGAAGATTGATTACTAGATCGATTATTTTCATCTTTTAACATTCGATCAATAAGAAAATCATTCTGAATTTTTTTTAATGATTGATTCTCACATAGTGGAACATCTAATAAAATGAAAATATTGAATTTCATTAAATAGCTAAAAAAAATTCTTTTAAATCATTACCTAATTCAAAAGGTGAATGAAGATTTTGTTCATCATTTGTGTCCATATCAAATGTATAAAATTGCTAAATAAATATTTTTTTATAATAAAACTAAGTTGTTTTTTTTTTCTTTTAGTCTTACTGATTTTAAGTTACGATCATTTTTAGTTTTAGCCATCGGTGATGAAATATCTAATAAAACATAATGATTAAATAATGAATATATAAAAGGTGTTTTTTTCTTCTACCTAGCGTGAATGCGTACTTGTCATTATAGTGATTCTGAAAAAAAAAAGTTGTATAAAGTTTGTTTTTTTATATTATTATAATTAAAAGTTTACATACACCATTTGACGACTCAATATCCATTATTTTCATCGTTGTTGATGCGTTTCGAATACCATTTTGACTACTCACACAAACATCATTGATAATGGGCGACTTAACAAAATAAAGTTAAATGTATATATATATATATTTATGTATGTTCACTCTTTCGTAAAATTGTTTCTCATTGAAGAAGAAAAGAGAAAAAAAGAGCAATTGTACTGTGTAGAATTTTTCTCTTCTTCTTCTTCTTCTTTTCCTTCTTTATTCATTATATGTCTGTATATATTCTTACCGTATGAAATGGTGGTGATGGGGAGTCACTTCGAGTGGTGCTCACAAGCGATGAAGGTGTGTTGAAGTCGGATGAGGTAGGGAGAAAACGTTGATGTGATAGAAGCCGTTTAGAATTATTATTACTTGGAGAAGCTGAAGTAGGAGTAGCCAATTGATAGTGATCGGTGTTCTGAGACATTGAAAGAAATCAATGTTTTATAATCATCTAGAAGAAAAAAATATATATATATATCGAGTGTGATCATTATCTTTCTCTCGTACAAACGATCGTGTCTAATAGATTTGTTTCTACATTGGTACTTGTGTCCGACATCATTACACTTCGTACATGACTATGTTAAGTTATAACCTCTCTCTCTCTGTCTCTGTGTATGTATAGAACGCCATCGATCTTAACAGAGTTATAAATAGGTCATCTCTTTCTTTGTTTATCGTAATATAATAATTCGTTTCTTTTTTTTTCTTCTCTTCTTTCTTAAGTAAAAGAATATGAATGTATTCTTTTCTCAATCACATGTTAATTCTCATCTAAAAATAATATCAATAAAATTCACGTAAAATTTTCTATTAATGATATGTATTCAATTTTTATTTCTAATTATTTGTCTTTTCTGTTCTTCTACTTTCAACTAGGTCTTTTACCTATACTCTCATGCAACTGTGAGAATAGAAGAAAAAAAGAAAGAAAAAGAAATGACTACTCATTATTTCTCAATTTATATGTAAACTTAACTATGTACTCTCAAACAAGCAAAACATAAAATAAAGAAACTGATTAGATTTTTTATTTCCAAAAGATTTTTTAGACAAAAAAAGAAGAGAACAAAAATTTTGAATAACAACAAAAAGAAATACGAATGAACTTGTAGTTTATCTTCACATACATATTTGAGAACTGATAACAAAAGAAGAAGAAGAAGAAGAGAAAAGAATACACACGCACATACATATGTCAATCATAATAATAACAAAAATTTTCTTGCTCTTTGGTTTTCTTTATGAAAAGATTGTTCTTAGATAGATATCTATATATATATGTTTAAAAATTCTTATCTTAATTTTAATAGAACCTATTGAGTTCAAAAGAACAAAAAAAACAACAAATTTTTATATACAAGAAAATATCCAAATTGATTTAATCAAGTACAACGATATCATCATCAACATACGAAACAAAATTTGTATTAAGTTTTTTCCATGGTGCACGTGCAACACGACGAATTTCTTTTTGAGGAATTTCCTTTCGTAAACGTCTAAAAAAGATAATTTTTGTTTAGTACATCTATATAAGATCAATAAACAAATCTTACTTGATATCTTTTGTAACACGTAAGTAAATACCATCAGGAGCTAATTGAAAATAATAATAATAATAAAATTTTTGTATAAAATTATGCGAACTTACGATCAATAAATGGCACAGTATAAGCACGCGATCGAGATGATTTAACAGTACCCTAAAGAAAAAGAAAATATAATTTTTTTAATGAACTTTTCTTTGTATCGATAAATGGTTTCATTCACCTTGTGGTAAATTCTTCCATTTAATATAATATTAGGTTAAATAACTGATAAATGATACTTCTAGAGAGTCAAGAAAAACTAATATAACCTTGATGATGTTTGTCATCTCATTATCTTCAATCGTTTGTCTTTATTGTTTCTATTCTATTTACATTTTCATTTCTCATTTGTTTAGATTACAATTTCGACAAGGTTAAAATATTATGAGAATGAACAAAGATTTTTTTACCGGAGATTTCGTTTTGATTAAATTTTGTCGACTTATTAATGTTCGTTTTGGTGATGGTCCTTCATTGGAATTTTCACTTGATTCATATGGTCGTTTTTTCATAATACTCATACTATTATGAGTAAATTGTGAATAAAATTCACTTGAATCTTCTTGTAATTTTGGATATCGTAATGGTAAATTAATTTCATTTTCAGTAAATGTTCTTTCTTCATATTTTGGTAAATAATCATCAAATACTTTTGTATCACTATTTTCATATTCCATTGGATATACATTACTTAAATGAACTTTTTTATAACGTTCCTTTCCTTTTCCATATAAATTACGAAGATGTGCGCATGTATAACGAATATCTTCCGTAGGTTTTTCATTGATATGTTTTTCCCATTGTGTACGTATATCATTTATATCAATACTATATGCTAGGCAATGTGCAAGACGTCGCATTGGACATAATGGACGAGCAGCACGTGTTAATGGTGTTGTAAATAATGCAAATGTATTACGTGGTTTTGACAATGGACGTGGACTACCAGATCGAAACATTATTCCATGACCAAGAGCATAATGACGTTGAAGAGCAGATTTATTTTTACAGTCCTAAATAAAAAAAAACATTGTTTTTTCTATGTATTCTTTAATAATATATCAAAGAGATTTAACAGGACTATAAATAAAACAATATATATTTATAACATACCTTTCCACAACCGGTAACAGTACATTTGTAACTAACTAATTTATTAATGTTAGCAGCTCGTTCTAAAATAAATATTACAATTCCAATTAATATATATATTTAAATCGTACATACCTTGTCGTCGATCAGGACCTACAAATTATATAGAAACAAAATATTATTTTTGCAGAAGTTTTTAATTCAAGATCTTACCACTCTTTTTTGGATATTTCAAACCACCTGATTTCTTATAGTAACTCCAACATTCTGAACAAAGTCGAGTATGTGGTTGAGCTGTATTCCATTGATACCATTGAGCAGATGAAGTATCTTTTGAAAAAAAAAAAGAAATTAATCCTAATCATAAATTTTATATGCAACATACTTCCACATGATTCACATGGTTTATTTTCAGCTTGTGGTCGTTGTGGTAATAAACATTGATGAGCTTTATTACTAGAAAAAACAAAAGAATCTTTTAAAAAATATAAATAATCATTTTAATACGAACTAGTTTGGTATGAAAACTTGTTTAAGTTTATTTTCTTGTTCAGCTAATTTTAAACGTCGTTGAGCAACATAACGATCGGTTGTTTTCCACATATAATAATATTCAATAATACCTTTTAAACTTTTCCATTGTAACTAAAATATAGAAACAGTTTTGAACCATATATACATATATATTGAATTTATTACATATTCTTTTTGTATATCAATAAAATCTTTTCCACATTTTTCAATAGCATCTTCAAATGAATTTGCTTCAGCAGCTGACCAATCTTCCATTTGATCTTTAACAAGTATTGGTCCTGTATTTGGTACCAGACTACATGTTGCTAATGCTAAATCATAATGATGTTTATGTAATATATCCATAGCAAAAAACTAAATAAAAAACAAAGATTTTGTTATATATATATATGAAATAAATTCAAATTATTTTACTAAAGTTGCATCACGTGAAGCTGATGCGGCACTCATATGAAGACTTGGATGTTTTAAAGCTGTTGGACAATCAAGTGCACGAGCAAATGTACCAATAGATCTATTTCATATACATTTAAATAAATATATAGATAATAAATAATCAAGAATTAATACCGAGCAATAATTAAAAATTGTTCAATTTGTTTTTCGGTTAAACCACCATTTGCATTCCAAATAAGATCTTCTCTTGATTGAGGATTTTCTTCAATATAATTATATACATATATATAAATTTAAAAAAATTAATTTTTTTAATACCTTCTACATTTCCATCAGTATATAAAAGTTGTGTTGGTACATCAGCTTGATATTTTCCTCCAACACGAATTTCACCTCGATCAGCATTTAATGATTTTTGATTTGGATCATAAACAAGTTGATAGAAAAATATATCCTAATAATCATAAGAATTTTTTTCTTTCGTTATTCAAATAAAATCTGATAGTCTATTAACATACATCCGCATTAAGATAAGATAAAAATGATTCGGTTTCATTGTGAAGTGTAACTAAACATTTTCCACGTATATTCGTTGCTAATAATGTTTCAATTTGACGTGTTAAAAATAATTCTCGATGACGTAATTGATGTTTTTGTATATCATCAAATTCTGTTGGTTGTGTTGATGAATTATTTCCGGATGTATTTTGAATACTTCCATTTGTATCTGTAGATATTTCATCATCATCGTCCCATGGACCTAAGAATAAATATAATTTAGTTTCTTATATTTTTTCTTTCGTATTTAGAAAAATTTACCATCGAGTTTAAGTCGATCAACTTGATTAACAAGATAAGCAGATATATCACGACGACGATAAAAACAAGCAACACGAGCTTCAACATTTCCATTTGGCGTCTAAATACAAAAACAGGATGTCAAATTAACAAATTTTTTTCAGTTGACTAAAGATTAATATCTCTTCCGTTATATTCTCATTTACTAATGAATCTATGTCGAAAAAATAATTTACTCTTAGTCACGAATACAACTAAGTGTAATTAGTAATCTTCTTTCAATCTATGATGTATTAGGAAATTTGAATATTTTTTCCGATAAGCAAATTTTTGATAAAAAATGACATTGACAATGAATATATTAAGAAACGACTAAAGTCAGAAAAATATTTCTTTCTTTTCTTCTATACGATAAAGGAATGATGTTATTGCGTTTTAAACGAAGTTCCCCCGATACGCCAATAAAATATATTAATATAATTAAATTACTCAATTGATCGTATTCATTTAGTTAATATATTTTATATAGTAATCATAAACAAACCTTATTTAATTCTTCAATTCGTCGAATCAGATAAGGTTCACTTGGATTGCCTTCAAAATAGACGTAATCTAAATAAATCAAACAGAATAAAAAGTTTAATGAAATTTAATTATTTGTTATATTCAACTTACCACCAACACGGTACATACACGAAGCCATTATATTATATATATTTATATATTTTTTTAAAATAATTCGTTCATAATTTTATTCTAAAATAAAAACAAAAAGAAACTGAAGATTTAATGTTCATGAACATACAATTTTTTTTTCTGTTCTGAAAAAGGAAAATAACACATAATACAACAGTTTCATATAAAAAAAACAGTAACAACAATAACAACAACATCAACATGACTTTTTCTTTTTTTATATCTTCGATGCTATGCTAACAAGAAAAAAATATGTACAGATAAACATGTTGAGAATAGCAAAATAAAAAATTTAGATAAAACTATGAAAGATTTGGGTAATATTTTTGTATAATTATTCTCTAGCTGAGTAATCTGATACTAAGTATCAACTGAATTCGATTGTTGATGTATCATATTTGTAACTGTTTTTAATGTTGTTTCATCCAGTAATTTTGAAGAAGTAGATTGACGTTTACATTGACGATAATGTCGTTGTAAACTACTTGGATGACTAAAAAATAAAATTATAGATATTATACATGATGGTATACCATGGATTTCAGTCTTTATTATAACTTTCTAGAATGATCTATGGAATTTCAATCTTGCTTCTATCATAAGTTAGAACAACATCTAGTGCTTTATTTACATTTCTTTTTTTTTTGTAAACCATCAGCTATCTTTCATAAAGAATTATTCTTATTGAGCCATTTGCATAAGAAATAATAACAATACGAAGGATTCAAGATCGGATATTATTAAACTGACAATAAAACATTCTTCCTTTCCGATGAGTTGTCAACTACTTACTAGCATTTTCCACAACTCATACATATTCTTCTCTTTTTATTATTATTATTTAATATCATTGTTGTTGTATTATTCATTTGTTTTTTCTCAATTAATAATTGTTTTTTAATTGGTAAAATTTTTTTAATATCTGACGAAAGTATTTTCTCATCTTTATTTGTTGTTGATGTTAGTGAATCATTTCCAATAAGAAATGAAAGTAAACAATGTTCATAGGATGTTGAACTTGGTGTTGATGATGGTGGTGGTGATGTCCCTGTTGTAGAATAATCAAGTACATCATCATCATCTTCTTCACTTCCATCGCCAATTATTGAATTTTGACTATGTTCTATTCGATCTCGTTTCCATACTACTTCACATTCAATTGAATCATAGATATTTGGTGTTTGACGTTCTTTTAATTGTAAATCATATTGAAGTTCAGAAAAATTATTTTGTAATTGTTTTATTGTCGTTTGAATTTTATCCATTTCTTGATCTATATAAAACTAAATTTTATTGAGATTTTTAAAACACAAAACAAACCATAAGTACTACGAACAAATTTCATTTGTTCAAGATCAATTCTTAATGTTTGAATATGTGATGATTGTTCAAATTGAAATTGTTGTAAATAATTACTTAATTGCATATAATTTGCTTTAATTGATGAAAGTTTTTCTTGATAAACATATTCAATGGTTTGAATTAAATTTTTACGCCATTGATCAAGTGAATATATTGTTCGACGAAGGGATTCATCTAATTTAAGATTTTTTATTTGTTCTTCTATTTAAAATGAAATAAAAATTAATCATAATCATTTTAAAATTCAATTCAATTTTATACCAAGTTGATCAATAGCTAATGTAAAATTATAAGCATTAAGTGATAATTGTTCATTATGTTTAAGAAAATGAACGAAACAATATTGTTGAGAACAATGAAGACATAATACACATTTAGCTGTGGAACATGTTCGATCATCACATGCAGTTCCTGTACTAGATGAATTATTTGATTCACTTGCAACCGGAGATGTACTATTTGATGACATTTTAAAACTTTTCTATTCTAGAGAAAAGAATATTTTTCTAAACAGATAATCATAGAATGAGTATACATATTTTGACCGCTAACAGAACGAAAAAATAAACAAAAAAAAGCGATTAGATGAAGAAGAACAATAATCGATCAATTGTCAACAACAAAAACGACGAGACATGCAATAAATATGTTGGTCTCTAAAAATAATAATCATAGAAAATTATTAAATTTACAAGACATGAATATTCTAAATTTGAAACATTTGACTATGCATGCATTCAAATATAATAAATAATTTAAAAAGTAAATTTATCGTATAATAGCGCCATCTCACGAGAAATCTTTCGTATACATATATGTAATTGTTATTTCAATCGTTTAAAATATAATACAGAGAAAAACGTTCTGTGTATTATTCATTCTCATCATTCAATCATTATGATTCATATGGTTTCTGCAGGCTAATATAAACAGTAGAAAAGAAATAACAATGATTACATTTTGATGTTGAAACTTTATGAGAAACTACTAAATAAGTTTTTTCTGCATTGTCTTTTTTAGAAAGGAGAACTATCAACATTATCAAGCAATGATTGCTAGTGAATTAGATACATTAATCGAAGATCATAATAATCTTCAAGATAAAATCAATCAAAAGATTCAATGTAACAATTCTAATAATTCTTTGTTTATACAAATCGATGAATGGCAAAGAACGACTATTGAAAAAGTGAAACAAGTTGCTGAACAAGCTCGCCAACAAGTTATCAAGTTACTAGACTCGCAAACATTAGAAATAAAGGCTGAATTTGATAAATTGTCTGAAGAACTTACTCGATTAAAAGCAACTAAGAATTTAGTAGAAGAAAAATTAAAACAGCTCAAACAAACAGTTTGTCAACTCGATCAAAATATACAACGAGTAAGTTATGCATCTGATATTGAACTGCATATGGAGAAAACTAAGGAAATTCCATGGCATACTCTTATTTATGCTGAACAGAAACTTAATGATATCAAAAAACAAGAGTTTCAGCCACAAGTAAAAGGTAATTTTATTAGTAGATCATTTTCTGTTATATTGAGATCTCGATGAGGTATGAAAAATATCAGAATGATTCATTACCTCGTTAAATAATGTACATATATAAATAATATATCTACCTGTAACATCGTAAATTATATATAAATAACACCATGTGGTAAAATGAAATTACCATAATTAAAAAATATCAATTATTTCTATGCATGTGTTTAATGAAGCGAAAATTGTATAGTCACTTTATATTTGACGAATATTTGCAGCTGGTACAAGTTGATAACACATTGATACTCCACACTCGATTGCAAAATACACACAAAATAAAATGTCTACTATTAATGACAAAGTGTCGATAAGTACAAATCAAAACACATCGTCAGAAGTAGAAATTATTTTAGAACCTGCTTCTGAAATGAATTCTTCGTTTGCTGAGCCCGTTTTGGGTGATAATGTGCCTTTAACATCACCAAAATCAGTATCAACACCTCGAGCATCTTCGTATTTTCCCAAAGTAGAAAGTGGGCCTAGGAAAACTATTTGGCAGATTTTTCTTGCCTGCGCATGTACGTATATCTCCTGTGCGGTTCTATTAAGTATATGGATTCCGATAACACAACTGGTGATCGGCATAAAATATCAAGATCAGTGTCCTGTTCAACCGAAAATTCCAATTTATCTGATCGTTTGTGGATGTCTCTTTTTTTTCGTGCTCGTTATGACTGTGCCAATACCAATCTATATTTTTGCACTACACTCCTGCAATGATCGTCGCAGAGCTTGTGGAATGTTCACTCTATGGTTCTTGGTTCTACTCATGTATTTATTTGGATTCGTTTGGCTTATCATCGGATGTGTGTGGATATTTTCTATTAGCAATAGAGTTCAGTATATAAATCCAATCGATCCGAATTATTGTAACGACGTACTCTATTTATTCGCATTTGTTATTACAATTATGAACTTCATATCATTAGGGCAATCATGCTATCAGTTTTGTATCAAGATGTGTGAGAGTAGGAACTTAACGGCGTGATGGAAACGTGGATTAATAATTCGAAATATATTGACCTATGTTTTTAAAGAAAAAACAAGCTGAATCTGCCAGTCTTAACTTTTTCTTTTCAGAAACTGATCAATAACAAACACATGTGATCTAACTTTGAATCAAGAGTAGACCGTGCGAGTAGTGCACAAAACTGAGAAATATTTCACCCTAATACTCTACTATTTTCTTTGCATTCTCTGTTTTCATATATATACCTTGAAAATTCGATATCTCGTGAAGATATTTATAAAATCAATTTTGAAAAGCAGAAATTTTTCATTTAGAACAAAAACAGACTCCTGCATCGTCATATCAACTAAAACGCACCTGTAATGGTCATGCTTGTACAATATGTGATAATTGTTGTGACTGGAATTACAATAAAGATTATTATGCAATGCGTAGCAGTGCTACTTGCAATCGTGATTATGTTTCTGAATTATTCCTTGATGATGCTCCTAATTCTATTTATGATGATACTCTTTATAGTGATAATGATGATTCCCTTTATCATGGTCGCAATGCGATATGTCACTGTGAAGATAATATTTAATAAAAAATCTCTTTAATCATGTTTTTGGTTTTTATTTGAAATGAACATTTATATGTTTTTCTTCGAATAATCAAAATAAAATAATTCAATTAAACGAAACATTCTTAAGGGTGGGTGTGGGTATCCTATCCATCTCTAACACATCCTAAAAGTTGTATATTAATCTTAACGCATTTTAATTTGATTACACATTAGGGTGGGTGTGAGTGTGGTTGTGTGAAGGTGTAGGTCTGGCTCTGAGTCTGGGTGTGAATCTTTATCAGAGTCTATACCAGTACCCAGCTACTCCCAAACCCACAGCCACAAGTGACCGGTTATCTAAAAAGTCTGATAGATAACTAAAAACATGTTTTTTGCAGACTTGTTCAAGAAATAGGCGCCTAGAGCTTGCATCCTCTTTCACGTAATGACAGTCTTGCATGAAGTTAACATAACGATGGTGGAATGATTCATACAACTGGGTGAAATGGCTTGGGTCCGTATATGTTTCCGTGCCTGTCTGAAATTGGTCGCCAGGCTAGGATCATCGAGACACGGTTCCGTCACATGGATGCCACTATGAAAAAAGAGACAGTTCTAACGGGGTACTGATCAGATTATCATCAAAATGACTTGAATTATGTGAGTGGAGCGACCATCAGGTACGAGCAAAAAAACATCGCTATATATCATCAGTGCCCTTCTTGTCGGAGTATGAAAAAATCTAATCGATTGAGCATGGATCTGAAAATTAAAGTCTCGGCAGGTGCTAGTGGCATTGTATATCTAAGCTGCCTGTTGAACAAGCTCATGTTGTAGAAATCGGAAAGAGAGCCAGCTTCTGATCTTGGTACAGAAAACTTGACATAGCTAATTACAAGAATAGTGGAGCTTTCGGTCGTAATATCCATTGAGACAGTGATTATCCGTGATAGTATCTTTTAACGACTATTATTTCATTGAATTTAAAACATGTAATTTTGTCTGTAAGACAAAAAAACGCCTTCCTATTCATCAGATTCTAATTAAACATACACTAATCTGCTCACATGTTAAATATTTTTATCAGATGATGAGTAACGAAGTATCATCTGTTCGAAATGTGTACGGTTTTTGACAGAAACTTACCAAAATCAAAGGAGGAATAATTAAGTACAAATAAGTGAGCAGGTAAAAAATAAAAGAAACGATTCATAAAAACAATCTGACTTGATGGAACAAATAAATGGACATCGTTCCGATTGACGGCAATAATTTATTGATATTTCACCGGAGACATGTCCTTTTTTATGTTGTTTATTTTCTTATCAAACAAAAAGTTTCATTTTAATTGTGTTGACATGGAAAAATCATCCATTTTTTTGTCTAGCAGTTTCTTTATATTCACCTTATTTGGACATATTTAAGATGACTGAAAGCATTAAAATTTATTACTTATACAAAGACTAATTGAAACAGTTTTATCTGTACTACACTTAAGTAGTTCGTTTTCTTTTCAGCATATGTTTTTCTAATAAAATCATATACAAATGAAGTTAAAATTCATTTTCTCTTTTCTAAATAACAATAAAAGTTTTTCTTTGTTCTTCAAACATAGAAATTGCATAGATATGGAATGTATCATTGATCATTAATTGATGATATACCAATTTATGTAAAATAATAACTTTAATAGTGTAGAGTAAACAGACATTTATTGAGTTTTTCTCCGAAAATGTTGCTGGGCTTTTTCCAGGAATTTCTTGTATTATTTGTTTTTGATCTTTAAAAAGTGTTTGTCTAAGTCGTGCCCGGTGAAGTCACTGAAAAATAGATAAGTAAGCAAACGAGCGAAGACGGAGAGAGAGGAAAATATAAAGAGGAGACATTCTTTAATTTCATTTCATTCCTTCTTCTCATTTTCTTTGAACAAGTACATCAATATAAGTCTCTCATTTGACGTTTTTCACTTCGATATTCTTATCTTGTATCATCGTTGAACCACTTGAGCACGGAAAGTGTTTCACTTGTTTACGATGATATCGTTTCGCATGTCCAAGCTGTGGATCGTTTTGGTGATCATCGAACAACTATCAGGTAAAGATCCTCTCTCCTTTTCTAATCTTTTATTGACATCATTTCTAATAATAATTAATTACGAAGTATTCTACTCGTAAATAGTATATGACTGATACTATCTGTCAGTAAAGTTGATTGATGCCGAGCTGATTGAGAAATGGTTTGTGAAGAAGTGTATAACATATGATGTAAACGCCCAAGATCGATTAAAAAAAGAACGTTTTCATTTGTTAATAATCGCGTGAACAGAAGATCCTGACATTTCAGATCGTAGATAAAAGCAGGTGAATTGAACTCAGGCCGCTGACTTCGATTAATAAAACGAACGTGGTTGATCAAAATTGGCTGAGCTGTAGAGGGCACTATTGATTAACCATGTGAAGAAGGGCAATATGGCTTACTGAGCTGTAGTCAGCAGCAAAGACCAGCTGTACCATAGTTTATCATAGGATTTAGTGAATTATCTCGCACGGACTACCTTATTAATATTATAGGCGGCCAACTTAATTAGCCATATCGTTACGGGTGGCATTTACTCACCATATTGTAGTAGTTTGTTAAGAGCTAACCACCGGTAGTGATTAATTTGATTGAGATAGTATACATAGTTTGCTGAACTGTAGCGGACCAGAGGTTCTCATAAGTGGAAGAAGATAAACGGGGCCATATCATCTTTGTAACTGATCCGGTAAACCGGTACTGACCGCCACTCTGGTTCGGTCAAACTTTTCTCGTTAGCCGGTTTTTACCGCTTTTTTTGTCATCTTTGAGAAATAATATATCATTAGTCTATGTTATTCTTATAATAATCGTTCTCACTCATATAAGTACATACGATCCAAATGTGAAATTTGATAAAAAGCATTTACACAGATCTTATCGAAAGTTCATTTGGGTGTGGGTGTGGGTAGATGTTCTCTTTTTCCCTCATCCACACTCCTTACCCGCGTGAGGGTGTGAAAGCAGTTTGTTCCCCATCCACCTCACACCTACACCCTCAAATTATTTTATTTTATTATATTTTAGATTTTATTTAACAAGTGAACCAAAAGTAAGTACAAGTTTATAAAATAATATTATTTTGTTTTTATTTAGATTCCGCTCAAGAATTGTTGAATCAATCAATTGACGAACTATCGGACCGGAAATTCCGGTCCAGAATTCAGTAAACATAAAGCGTTACAATGCTATAGATTCGCACTTGCGATCGAATCCCAAGCAGAGAAAAAACGAATAGAAACGATCATATACGACAATGAAAACGATCGTTTATTAACGAATATACTCTCGTGTACGACGTCTGTATTTGTTCGTATACGATCACGGAGATGCACGGTCATAATACGGCCCTTATTAATACGGAGCAATACGATCGGATATGAACCGTATATAGGATGTATACGAAGGCTCGTAATGGACGATCTGGGATGTTTCATGTAACAGGGATTGAGTAAATCAGAGCATCATTTTCTTGTTATTGGTTATATTGTTTTTGTACTATTTGTTTTCATTTCGGCAAAATCAAAAAATACTGCTGGTTTATCAATCAATAATGTACCAATATTCGGAACGATATACGCTGATATAAATAGATATAGTGTTTTCATTATGCCTTTGTGCGATAGCGCCAATCTAACTGATCATTAAAACTATTTTTACAATGTTATATGAGTATTACTTATTGTTTTCTTATTACTTTATTACTCTAGTACCGTTATTACTTTATTGTATAATTGTATTAATTTTTTACTACTTATCACTCTTATTATTTTTATTACTTTGTAAGATTTATTGCTAATCACTAGTAATAATAATAATGTTAAAAATTATTACTTACTACCGGTAATGGTAATGTGACAGCCCTAATTTTAATATCTTATTTATCATCTTATAAAATAGTTTTATTCTAGTCTATTTTGTTGAATTAATTTAAGTAAATAATTATAGTTTTATCTTATTTTATTAGTATTTAATTTCAACGTTATTTATTATTATTTTTATATGAAAAAATAACTTTTTGTAATTCTAATTTTAACCTTACCGTTCTTTTTCTATTAATTAATTGGAATAAATTACATTAGTTTAATTCTCTTTCTCGTAGAGAAGAGTCTTACAAACATAAATTGTCTGATTGATTGATTGTGTGTCTACAGAGTACAAAAACATCGAAATCTGATTTCCAGAAAAATACATTCCAAGAGGTATTTCAAAGGGTAGAACTCGAGTCCGAGTGTCATTCGCTCA